ACATAGTGAGGACTATAACGCATTCCACAATGTGCATAGCGAATATGTGAAACAAGTCATTATCCATAAAGACTTGGAGAGCCGATTGAAGGTAGAGTATTCTGACGTTTACTTGAAAGATTATATAGTGACTGTCCACACGTGACCCTAAGAAATTTACTGAGTGATCAGACACGTAAACACTCATTTACTACCATAGCCATTAGCCATATGAACACTTCTTACTAAGGACACTTCTCGAAGAAAAAAGTTTGATAAACAGTTCTCGAGGCAGTAAATCAACCTCGGAAAGATACAGTCAAGGAACAAGGTGACTTGAATGGTCATCCTGCCTCTTTTATACATAGGTGTGTAATACCTATATTTATATATAGGTGTGTAACATTTGTGAATGATTAATAGCATCAACTTCATTTTCACGCTTATAAAGCTGTGCATGTTCGTGAAGGTAGGTGAGACTGCGGTCATTGCTCACACATTAAGCTGTCCTTCCTCCTGTCAAACGCTTTTCTGCTATCAGATGTCAGCTTTTTATTATCTGAAGCGGTTTCAAAAACTACGGGGTTGTTTGACAATTTGGGGTCCTGTGACGTCCTGCGCGAGCAATGGCCGCAGTTCTACCCCGGCTTTCACGGTCAGGACAGCGTAAGATGGTTAACAACTGAACTATAGGGATGAAATCGAAAGAGGTAAGAGCGGAGAACATTATCGTAAAGGAATGGGAAATCCAGTCAAGATTACGAGTGAAATAGTCTAGCCAACCGTCAAACAACGCTATACTTTGTGCTATCTTTGGTTTTATTTTGTGTAGCTGAAGCTAATCATAATCGTCATCAAACTGATTTCACATAGAATCAAAAACATACAACATGTTTCATTATCAGGTCTCCAAATCTTCACGTGCATGGCTGCTGCGCTGCCTATTTGATTAAAGCAATTTTCAGGTTTGCTCACTCGACTTCTGTTATTTTAGAGGTTGCTTACTAAATGCACTCTCCAAGGATAGTTGAAACTCGAGCTTTCTAGCTAACTTAATATCATTCTGGGAAGGCTCGAAACGAGCTGGCAGGCAGCCAAAATTGCAGTCTAATTATAAGGGAAAAGACCGGCCATAGGCTCCCTAACAAGCATAATTAGTAACATATTCGTAATTACTATGTTAAAAAAACTCCTGTGGGCCATGTTTTAGCGAATTCTCGGGAATATTAGACCACCAGCGAAGTGGCCATTTATCCGTTGAACTATATTCCAGAATTATAGCTGACTCGTCTTGGGCTCAATACAAAGCACTGCTCCCCCATTGGCCCATATCATAAATCCTGCTTCAAATACCATTAAACTCGGAATCAGGTGCCAGCCAAAGTCTCATTTGTCCCATTTTTCGTTTTTGATGACTGTACTTTCATCAACTATTGCTCGATTGAATTTAAACGAATCCAGCTCTAACTACAAATACAAAAACTACAAGAGTTTGGCTGTTGAACTGTGTAAGTTCGCTAAAATTCTCTTTGGAGGTAAGTTGATAGGGTGTGGCACAACCCCAGAAAATCTGTGGTTGGCTGCCACATTTTTTGGGGTTGTACCACACCCCATTAACTTACCTTCAAAGTTTTATTTTTCCTAGGGTGGGGGGGGGGCTCTTCTTAGTAGTCGACCAGGATTCGGATAGTTTACTCATGTGTTTTCGACTTTTCAGACTCTGAGAAGGCGATTTCGTTGAAATGTTAGTCTGTATTCTGTGCTATAAACATCTTTATCAATCTTGGACTACGCTAAAACAACCAACGAAAGTATTAAAATATCTGTGCTTTTTATATCGTTGCCAATATTAACCCTTTGTCTCAATACCGCAGGAATTTCACTCAAAATTGTTTCCGTTGAAAAGATATAGTCGCTTTTTTCTACCTATGCAAGTGGAAAATATTGCGAAAGTACTGGGTTACGGTGACATGCTAAGTCTGCGCTACTGCGTAAATGCGAGGGAAGGCGGCAAGAACAAACATATTCGACTTAATCCTCGTAGTCTTACAAAAGCGACCTGAGCCTAATTGGTCTTCTCTAGTGCAAAATATTGACAACGAAAAATGGAGCAAACGAGATTTTGATGCTCTTAATTCCATATTTCTGAAGTCATTTGAGGTGGAATTCCTATTGTGGGGGAAGTAGTAGCTCTTTGTATCAAGTGCAGAGTAGTAGTTACTCATGTTCGAAACAATGTTGAGCATATCGAAAATGAACACCTCATTATAAATGACCAATTTTTGGGAGTTCACCGAAACTTGGCCTGCAGTGTTTATTTGACATGCTAATTACAAAAATGATGCTCTTATGCTTTTAGGGCTCTTCTGTTATGCTTACTGTAAGTATACGATAGTGAGCGAAAACATCAGTGTGCTAGTATCTTGCATAATTTGCTTGTCTGATGATTATCTATCTCACTGTCAACAAATATCATGTTATCGCTGTCATCCTCCCTGATCACTCTATACGGCTCTCCTCCCTCGGTGTGGCATGCCACACCCCACGCTTGACTCTATTATGATGCAAATAAAGCTAAAAAAGTTCAGTGTGACTTGGATTCCTTGCTAGTACTCTGATTTATTGGTGTAATGACTATGAACTGGCTTTCAATTTTGATGAAGGCTCAGTGCTTTATTTTGGAAAAAAATTTACAAGATTCTGTGTTAAAGATGTTTAAGTTGAAGGATTTTGCCATTTGTTTGTATAGATCTTCATGGCAAATAAAGCAGGATTATTTTTCGCTTTTTTGCTTTTTCGCAGTAGTAACACTATCAACAAATATACATGTAAAAAAGTTTTTCTTCATTTGCTGCTCTTGGATCGGGGTTCCCTTCGCAGTAAAGATATGTGAAATTTAATAAAATTTAACAGCATTTTACAGACTTTTGTGTGGGCTTCTATCACCTGGAACGACCACCCTTTCCATTACCATAAATACCTCTCCCGCCGCGAAACTAACAATAAGATAAAGTGTCGTCGTGCCTTTAGTCTCAAGTGTTGCTTTTCCATTCTAAAGAAGTGATTGTATGTTTGGGTGTAGTGTATATTGATAGTTAGGCAATAGCGTACATATATGTCTTATGTGGATAGTGTTTACGTGAGCAAGTAAGAACTTTCGTAGGATTTTTATGAACTGAGTTACGATTTTTTTCGATTTTTCGGGCTGCTGAATCTTTTTAGTTATTGGCTCAAAACTCTAGGTGGATGAGAGCTGTTGCAGAAGCAGAATGGCCATGTTATAGGGCTTGCTTTGCTCTATCGAACGGTACTTCGCAACCCGTTTAAAAATGAGAAGTGTATGACTTATTGCGGTTGAAATTCAAAACGGGCATTAATTACCGGACAACCTAATATCTTTGACATCGGTAACTATAGAAATCGATGCCGCTATTAAGGGGCGTTGCCGAGTAGACGGGAGATAAAGCCAAAGGAACGAAATTACAATTTACATAGTTTGAGGACATATAGAGAAGATAAAATTTTACTAAGGCCTCGGGCAGAGTTGAGCGATTTGGTCGTCACGATTCAGTCGCTACAAGACAAGTGTTACGAGTTCATTGCATGCCGATCTTCTTGCATTTCGGTTGTGATAGTTTTCCAACACGACTAATTATGACTAACTATCACAACTGAAACACAAGAAAATTGGCATGCAATGAACTCGTAACATTTGTCTTGTAGCGGTTGAATCGCGACGATGAAATGGCGTGAACTCTGCCCGAGGCTTAAAGGCACTTTCTACCCAAAGTGGGGGTTGACGAGATTATGATAGCATGCTAGTGTGGGCCCCCACACTAATTGTAAGCAAAATCCCAAATTTCACCGCAATTACTGCTCCCGCGAGAAATCCGCGAAAGGAGCAAACCTGGAGGTGCTCGCTCCACCCAGCTGGTTTCTCCGCCCATTTTGCAAGCTTTTTCCCGCATGTTTTGGGGGGCGGGCACGGATTCTCGACTCCATATTCGAAATCAGGGCCTTCCTGAAAGCGACAAAAACATAGAAGTTGAGAATTTGGGTGGACGGTTCCTTTAAAAGCGGTTTTCAAAGAGTGAAGTATCCTTTGCAAGAAATGGATCAAAAAATTATTTTCTCTTCCTATGACTGTAGTCAGCTGTTTATCGATTATCTCCTTCCGCAGCTTCCCCCCTTCCCCCCCCCCCGAATTTATACTTTTGCGCACTATCATTTGTAATATTATGTCACCTTACTTGTCCCGCAAATTAATTGAGTGCAACTACGCGATTTTTCTTCAATTCTCCGCTTTTACACACTTCTGGTGCAGTAGGCCTTTTAACCCATCCTTGTCTTACGACAGCGTGGCGAAGTTGCCGCGACAGTTGAAGTTTCGGTTAACTGTCAGTCGAGGTGGCTTTTCTGAAGCATAAGAGGATGGGCAGTAGTAATTGCCGCTGAAGAATGGGAAATCAGGGGTTCAATTTGGTTCACTTGATCTGACGGGGCATACCAGGCCATAAAGAAGAGTTGAGAGAAAGTATTTTTGAACGCTGTCACAAAAGTTTCTGTGCTGTTTTTTGAAGGGATGCTAATTAAAGTGCTGTTTAATTTCTTCTCGTTAGTCACACATTACCCTTGTCAACGTTTCGCGTTTCATGGGTGTTTCCGCAAAAACATCTGCCAATAGGTTGCTTGTTTTTTCGCTGAAGCAATAGACACAAGAAATCGAAGAATCTTTTTCATAAATGTTTGTTTGACAGATTGGCTGCATAAGCGGTAGTGCACGCATTCTGGTTTGCAATTTTTTGGAAAATTTAGAAATCTGTGTTGCATTCCATGCTCGATATATCTGCTTTCAAGATTGTCATGTTTATACAAGTAAAAATTTGATAGCATGATATGACTAGCAAATGTCAGCATCAACCAACACCCTGGAACAGTGATTGTAAATGATTTATTTGAACTTGACAAACTCTTAAAACGCATATAAAAGAATTTTAATGGAAGTGGTTACCATACATATCATGCATGCGGTCCTATTTCTTCTCGCTCTGTTCTTGTTGAGCAAGGCCAAACCGTTGGATGAAGTAGGGAGTGTTATCGTATCCGTCTGTAGAGGTACTCCCAATTTTAGAACGGACGCAGTGCTGAGAAGGTCGAATATGAGATTCGCAGTGGTGAGTGAAATGGAGTCAAGATAGTTATGTATATTTATATTATATACATAACTATATATATGTAATATATATATAACTATATATATTATATACTATATATATTATTATATATTACTTATGCGGTAATAGCGGATATCATCGTGTTCGTGAAGAAGGTATGCTTTTCCGGCTAACAACGTCGATTATTTCGTAACTGCTCAATCTCTTTTTATTGATTTTCACATTCGATAGCAGAGTAGCCAAACATTTAGTAAAGTCTGGAAATTCCATAGACCAAAAACGGCGTTTTTGGTTGTAACAAGGAACATTTTGTTCAACCGAGGCCAGTTACTTCAAACGCACCGCACTTCAGCTTTCCAGCGTGCAACCCCGCTAAGACTACCGTGCCTTCTATTCAAACACAATGATATAATGTCAAAGCTCAGACAATAATTCTGACGATCGCTGTGCCTCCATCGACTGAGCGATTATGCCTCTCGCCGAGCGTCAAATGATGCAGCACAATGAACACTTCATTATCTAGTCATTTGTTTCGATTGAGACAAAAAATTCAAAAGCTTGTAAATCTGATAAGTTGAGCTAGAAAGCATACCTAATAATTCTGAACGCTTGTAAGATGGCCCAAATTCAAATTAAGATGTGTAGCACCGCATGTGCAGTCTATCGGTTGTAAGTGCTTCCGTTTGCAAAAGGTAATTGATAGAAGTTGCTCGCCCAATTATATCGACATGGCGCCCTCGCGCTGCTTTAGTTCCTAGAGAGCGAGATCGCTCGTCCTGTATATTGAAGTTATCAGAGCAAACATCGTGCAGAGTGATATGAAGATTTTTTGCTAACTTGGGCTTATCCGACGTGATCTCAGGGCCCGTAATAATCCTCCCGTCGCGATGGTCGGTTTTCCAAATTCTTTGGCTTCGGACTCTGTTGACTGCTTACAAGGGAAAGCTCTCAATCGAATAGCGAACTGGAATGAAATACAAATTATTGGAGACGTCTCAATGATCTGATTTTCCATTTACTTCAATCGCTGAGCGGTTTTTTGAAAGGAATTATGGTCATTCAAATTATGAGGTTATCGGAAAGCTATTGTATGATATGCTTTGGAATCCAACTCGGGAGTGCATAATTGCGTAGCTTTCAGTATACTGACTACAATCAATGGAAGGAGTAACACCACCTCAAATTAGGCACCACCTTCGCGGACTACTGGTCCCAACACGATGCACAACAATGGGATGAAAGGACCAGCAGCACGCGGAGGCGGTGCCTAATCAAATTGTTCGTTCCTTTCTTACCCTAAGTAATGCACATGTACTCAAAACACAGAAACAATAGCTTGGAACAACTTTTTTTTGGAGGTGAACACTAAATCGCTGGCTGCCTGGAATTTTTTCTAGCTGGTTAAGGTCTGGACTGACGCAGTCTCAGCAATTCCTACTTTTCCGCGACTTTTCTCAAAAAAAATTCTTGCTTTTTTCGAAGTATAAGATGAAAATGCCCTCGCAGAGTATACGCTGCCCCGACTCTTGATGTGCTTTCAGATGTATTCTGAAGGATTGCCGAGTGTTAGCTGTGAAACTATGCATAGAATCCGCTGTCTTCAGGCTCACATAGATAAAATTCATACATTACTAGCTAGCTTATCGGCTCCGCCCACCCTGTCAAAACATTGTGATAAAGCTCCCATTCCTATCCATGTACAATTTTTCCCTGTGCCCACTTCTACATGCCAGTTTCCTATTCTCCTGTGTTAGTAATCAGCATGCTCACTTACCCCCCCCCCCCCGGTGCCAGCTGCCAACCCCTTGACTCAAACTTTGCAAAAAATCGTTAAAAATAAAACTAAGAACGGTTTTGAAAAATAATATTGTATTCGTAATCAGCATGCTCGATTACCCTCCCGTGCCAACTTCCAGCCCCTTGGCTCAAACTCTGCAAAAAAATTGTTAAAATCAACAAAACCAAGGACGGTTCCAAAAGCTAATATTGTATTCGTAATCAGCATGCTCGATTACTCCGTGCCAACTTCCAGCCCCGTGGCTCAAACTTTATCAAAAATCGATAAAATCGATATCGATCGATGACGAAAAGTGGCTTATGACACCCGCTCGACCCCCAAATGTATGTTTGCAAAGTTTACTCCAAATTGGTTCAGAAATGGAATTTCCTATTCGGAACGTATGTACACACACAAACAGACAGCCAGACAAACAGACATTCAGCTTTATATATATAAGATGATGACTGTCTGTTTTTCTGTATGCATGTGTGTTTATCTGTATGTATGTACGTATGTTCCGAATAGAAACTTTATTTTTAAACCGATCCGAACCAAACCCCTCACACATGCACTTCAGGGGCGGGGCGGGTGCGTAGGCTATTTTTTGTCATCGAGATATTATCAATTTCAGTTGATTCTTTGCAAATTTTGAGCTACGCGGTTGGGAGTTGGTGCGGGAAGAGGGGGGGGGGGGTAAGTGGGCACGCTGATTTTGACAAAATGGGGATAAATAGGCATGTAGGAGCGGGGGCACACGGAAAGAACAGGGATAGAGATAGAACCTTTATCGTTATGTTTTGACAGGGCCGGGCGAAGTCGGTGTGAACTAATAACATATGAGGTCTTTCTGCAAACTCTTTTACTTTGCGGCTGTAATACTCTGTCTAGAAAAAGAAAAGTATGTTGTTTGTCATGCTTTACATGACCCGAACGTGAGACTGTAAAGAACAAAGTTGCAAGAAGTAGACTTGCTGTTTCGCTTCTTTCATCTGTTCGGATATCGTTACATCCGCTCCGTTCTCGTTTTGAAAAGTCTATGAACGCATCTAGAATTACCTTACTTACCCTCCTCTAAGAAGCAGCGATAACATTCAGGAAGAAACATTGTGGAAGCACAAAACGTGGAGCTTAGAGAACAGTCTGAAAAGACTGCTGCAATGAAAAAAGTAAGTCAAAGCTCTTGCTAACTGTGGCAAATAGATACGTGCTACCATAAAGGAGATGCGAGTGCCTCTGGCGTAGAAGGCGTTACGACAGTGGCAAAGCCAGTGACTTACTCAGTGAGTAGAGAACAGTGCATGTAAAACTATGTAAAATAATGTGAAATCCAGAGTGCGGATGTGAACATCTTAAAAAGTGGTTTATGGAATCTTGCCAAAAAAGCTGCCTCATTCATTTTCAAGTCAGGTAGGACTTTTTGTTCAATGATTTCTTCTTTAAAACAATAGACCTCCATTGCAGCGAGAAAACGTCTTGCAACCTTGACTGATCAAATCTCCAGTTGGCTTAGAGGTGGTTCAAGCAGTGAGACAGGCGCAATGTCGACTGCTGCACATGCGATTGAACGCAGAAGACTAGATGAAAGCGAGCAGGGGCATATTTCTAGATACAAAACAAAACAACCCTTTGGGGAGAGAAATTAGACCTCTATTCATCTTTTCTAAAAGGCGTTGAAAGCGTTTAACAATTCCTGCTATCACCCACTAGATTATAATTCAAATTCCCCGTGAAGGCGTTCGACTTCTCGCCAAAAAATTTTTTTACGCCTCTTTCATATTTCTTTTGTTTTGTGGCTTTGAATAAACCGAGTTAATTAGTTATGTACTCACAAGCAAATCTTGGAACACGAAAAATTTTCGCTGTTGATGTTCTTTCATAGTATTCTGTAAGATGCCATTGATTTGCCAATATCCGAGAAATCCTTTTATCTGAATGAGTGGTATTTTGTTCTTTTGATGAGCACGTATGAGTCACAGTTACAAGTACCAATGACTCCGTAGCCCTTTTTTCACCAATTTTAAGACCCTTCTCCAAATGTCAAAAGTTTTTTTTTCCATTTTAAACCATTCACAGTGACCTACGCAATCTCACTCTAAATATTTTTTTGCTAATGTTCAGAAATACGCAGCTCCATTTTTTTACAGCTGCCTTTATAAACAAAATTTGAACAAGTACCTGGGCGTTTCACCATAATTAATTTGTTGGCAGTCACAGTCTGTGTTATATATCCTGAAATTCTCACGGCCTACTTTCAAGCTGTTCTTATAATTTGCAGTATAAAAACGGACAGCTGTTCAAGACGTGCTATGAATTAAAGTTTAGAGCGCTTGGATGTGTCTTTCTTAGCTGCTAGCGTTTTTTGAAAAAGATACGAATCGCTTCTTGTGATTAGAAATAATAGCTGCTTTCAAAACGTAATTATTAGAGATTGTCACACATTGCTCAATAAAGTGCTGGAAATAGCTGAATAACCTAAGAACTAATGGCTAGAGTTTACAATTGAAAAGTGAAGAGTACATTCAAATTTATTGATAGAATTCTTTGAAGAAACGCTAAACACAAACAGTCCCTAATTGCTGACATTCATAACCCTGAATATTAAACGTTCTCGATTCATTCTGAGCAAAAGTCTATGCTAACAAACTTACAAACACAGTCGCATTGAATTTACTCTACATTCATCAAAAGTTCTGTCAAGAAATGCATGTATTCCCAATGCCGGAAGCCACTTGCTCTATTCGCTGTACCCTACACAATACTTAATGCGTTTTTTTACGAGATAACACGCAAGACAATCGAGAAACTTGATTTCTTCAGTTTAACTCGAGCCTCAATTCTCAAATGATTTCTATATTGCTAATTGTAAACAGGGATCAATTTTTAATGGTGAATGTATTTCCATAACCTTTACAAAATTACTGTTTTTCAAATTGCCATGCTTCAACTGTTTTGAAGGTCTCATTATGTTTACGTTGCAGTTTTAGGATTTACAACAATGATTTATTTAGTGAGAAAACGGAGTTTGGAATGATGTAGGCAGCTTGAGTGGAAGAACTCTTGAGAACTCTGAGGCAACTAACTCAAGGTTCTGCTCAATTTTCCTTGCCCTGGAGTTCGGTGAATCTTTGAAAACTCCTACAATTCCTTGTAGAAGCAACCAGATACTCAAAAAGAGAAGAAAAGAACGTGGAGAGAAAGATACCATCTTGCTTATTAAGAACGGAACCGATGTGGCAGTGGCGATTTGGATATCTATATATAAATAAAACCGAATCTCTGTAAATTTGTTCGTTTATGAGTATGTGGCTTATAGACTCTTTTGTGTGTGAACCGATGGGGCTAAAATTCGTCCCTCTATAAATAAGGCAGGCGCAGATGAAAGCTACTTTTTGAGACGATTTAGGCCCTTTTAGACATTTAGGCCCCCATTTTAGGCCCTTCAATCGATCTATCGATTTGTTTACTTACATCGAGAGTTCACCAAGCATTGTTGGTTCATTTTCCCATAGTCATGTAAGTTGGGCGGTGAAGTTCAATTACATTTGTCGGCGAAAAGAATCCACTGTTTCAAGTCAGCAAGGAAGACATGACATTTCGTCGCAGACATGAAGAAGGGCCTTAAGTTTCATTGCGTTTGGGATCAAGTAACCCAAATCCCGGGCGGGAACGGGGGCGTCATCTAGTTATGCATAATATTGAATCTTTTTGAGCTAATTCCAAATTTTACTTCCATATCTGTTGAGAGGTTCTCCACAAGATGTCAAGGACGCTTGTAAGTCCAAAGGCAAACATTCGGTGCTCATCTTTAACTGGTTCTTTTAACACATTTATGTTTTCGGAAATCCTTTCCTTGTTAGATATGGAAGCTCCGTTTTCACTTGGCGTAGGCCTCAGCACAGAATCCCCATTGTGCCCTGCCCTTCGATTTTGACACTTACATATTCTTAAAGGTCGTCAATGGCTGCCTCCACGTGTTCGCGCAGATGTCGTATCTAGTTGATTTCTGAGTTGGTTCATCCGTCAAACTCGTCTGTTCATCTGGTGCCGTTTCTGGGGAGCGCGGTTTTGCTTCGCAGGGAATCCACTTTGGTGTTCTTAATGTCCATCTGTGGGTTTTTCGTAATGTGATGTTTCGCTTTCGCGACGTATTCCGCTGGACCAAAGAAACATTCTTCATTTATCCGTACCGTGAAGTCCGACAAGATGTTGCTTGTGTCGGACAACCTTGAAAACTGCGCTCAAGAGTTTTATGAGCGCTTTTCGAAGCTTCCGCGTGGCTGTGGTATCGGCCCAGATTTCAGCTGCTTCAGAGCCAAGAAGCGCTTGAGTCAAAGAGGAGGACTCGGATCTCCAAATTTCTCAGTTGGTGGGTGGCTTTCCTGGGAGGCCCAAGGCGAATCAAGATGCCATTCTCTTTTTGTGGAGTTTTCCTCTCAAATCGTTCTCAATGTTCATCGAAAGTCAAGATATGTAAGGAAATGGTTCTATGATGGAAGAGCTATGCATTTTCATTTTCACAAATCTTCAAGGGCATTTCCTAGATGAGTCTTCTTTCGATTCATCTGACAAACTTTTTCCCTACTTTGTTGTGTTCTATAAGCGTTGTCTTTGTTTCAAAGTGCTCAAGAAGAGAACGATGTCGTCCGCAGGAAGGTTTGAAAATATTGCAATGATTCGCATGCCTCTCTCTTTCCAATCCAGTGGTTTCATCACCCATTGCAAGGCTGCGTGAACAGCTCTGACAAAATTGCTTCTCTTTCATTATGATGAACAGGGTGTGAGAAAGCAGCTGCATCGTCATTGTACAATCTTCGTAGCAATCGGCTAATGTCTTCACACAAGTTGGGTCCACTCTTGATCAATTTACAGACAGGATGGCGCTGACTGCCAAAGCCTTCTCGTACTAGACGAAGGGTGGAAGACAGGCAGTCGAAACTCTTGGCAGACTTCTATGACCTTCGTAACCGCCTCGATGTGGTACATGCAGCGCATATACGAAAACTAGCTTGTTTTAAAGCTTGAACATTCAGTGTCTTAGTAAGCAAGTGAGGGTAACCCTAATAAAAAGCTTGTGCAGCACACTCAAAAGGCATCGTAGACTGTAGTTCCTAAAATTCTCCCGTTCTCCTTCTTCAAAAAGAAATAAGGTCCTTGTCATGAAAAAATTTCCAAAGAAGCTAAGCCAGACGATTTTATCTCGAAGACCATATCCGTCCAAATTTTCCGTCCCTATGTTCCCTTTTCAGTGGAATCCCAATTAAATCCACGACAAATTTGCAGAAGGATTTTTTCGCAGACGGCCTTCTCCCGTCTTCGTATAGATAACTTAGTTTTGTTTCGTCAGCTGCTGATATTGGAAAATAGCAATTTATGGTTTCTGATGTGGAGGGCGTAGACGTAGAAAGCTAGTCGAGGTGATAGTCTTACGAATCGAAGATGGACAATAGGTAGGTGGGTGGACGACAAAGCCAAGGACACGTGTGATAAAACCTTCTCACCACGAATGATGAACGATCCATAAGGCGCCCTGAGCAAGCTGACGATGGTCTTGCTACCATCAGGCGCTACAGCTAGAATGCGATGTACAAAGTTTTCTTTTTCCTCTTTTTGCTGACCGAATAATGCAGTCCTCCCCCTCCTCCCACCCCACAAAAGCAGGCTTTATAGGCCTATTCTTAAATTTCATGGGGCAAACGCTAATCCCAGCTGTGGAGTGGGCTGCCTAATGATCGAAAAGGCAGACGGCGGGGGTATGTATCACTGTTGAAACCACCAATCGAAGGATCGCTCAGGTGCAAGGCAATTCAACGAAGTCGGGAAGTTCAGGCATGAGTCATGGAAAACTTTTGAAATCCCGCCCAAATGGATCCGTCCCGTTGCAGAGGGAAGATCTATTCTCACTGTTTTAAGAAAGTGGTATGTTAAAGACTGTGCATAGCGCCATCCCCTCAGAGTGTACTGAAGGTGGTTAAAGAACCCTTTCTATCGAAAAACGACCATCTGTCAAGTGATTGCTCTAAAATTTTGACGACTTTCGATGGCATTACAACACGTTGACAGCTCAAAACGACTTCAAAACCCCGTGGGAGTTTGAAGATTTAGATAGGGTTGATTTCGGCCCACAGCTCACTTGCAGCAATGCAGCCACCGGTGGTGATGACGTGAGTTCGACGGCGGCCGAGACGAAAGCGAGGGCGTCTCTTCCGCCAATTCATTCAACACTCATCCCAGGACTAAGCTTCCACTGGTTAGCTGCTCCGCAGGTCTCATTCAACCGTGGCTGGCTTTCTCTATGTCCCGAATTCTGCTCCTAGTCCCTATTTTGCTCCTTTCGAGTAAAGGAGTACTGCCTCTGGGCGGGAAGCTGTTCTTTACCCATCCACGGTCAAATTTGATCAACAAGAGCTATGCCTATCTGACACTGTGTCAGCCAAGTGAGAAAATCATTCTGAACGTTTCGGTGGTGGTGAATCCATTTCAAGAAGGTCAAGTGATTCATTTTCAAAGAGCTGGTGTTCCATTTGAGGTAAGGCACGAAAACTCTCTTCTATCCAACAATCCTCTTCCATACCTATATTTCTCCTAACCTATACCAGCAGTAAACATCTTTTTGCGGGTTATAGTGTAAAGGAAACAGCTGTGCGGAAGTCGTCTAGTCAGAAAAAGTTTCTTAATGGCAGAATGTTTACGGAATTCCTGCAAATTTCTACAAAGCATATTATTTAGTCGATCAGCTCCGTTAAACTTTTGAATGTCATAAACCTTGAATGATTATTCCGCTTTTTCCCCTATAAACAGAAACTCCGATAAACTGTTCGTCATGGCTGAAGTCTGCCGCAAATTGTTTACACGAAAGTACGTTTTATCCTTGAATTCTCGGAATGTGTCAAAAACAGTGATGCAATTATCGAAAAGCATCAGCGATCTTATAATTGAAGAAAGCTGAGGTTTACTGTTTTGGAAGGGAGGAGGAGGGGGTATTCATGAGTAAAGTGTTGAGAGTATCTACATGTTCAGAAGTTGGAAAGCATAAAATGCTAAAACTGCTCTATGTAAATTAACAATTTTCCAGTACTTACAGCAAACACTACGCAATGTTTCATAATCTCAGTGCTAATCAAAATTTATCTTATATATAAAGCTGAATGTCTGTTTGTATGTATGTATGTATGTATGTATGTATGTCTGTATGTCTGTCTGTGTGTACGTATGTTCCGAATAGAAAATTCCATTTCTGAACCGATCCGGACCAAACTTGGCACACATACACTACGGGCCCCGGCGGGTGTCATAGGCTACTTTTCGTCATCGATCGATATCGATTTTATCGATTTTTATCGATTTTTTTGCTGAGTTCACCTACGGGGCTGGGAGTTGGCACAGGGGGGTAAGCGAGCATGGGGATTCCGAATACAATATTGGTTTCCAGGATTATCGATTACTTTTATCGATTTTATCGATTTTTTTGCAAAGTTTGAGCTACGGGGCTGGGAGTTGGCACAGGGGGGTAATCGAGCATGGGGATTCCGAATACAATATTGGTTTTCAGGATTATCGATTACTTTTATCGATTTTATCGATTTTTTTGCAAAGTTTGAGCTACGGGGCTGGGAGTTCGCACAGGGGGGTAATCGAGCATGGGGATTCCGAATACAATATTGGTTTTCAAAATTATCGATTACTTTTATCGATTTTATCGATTTTTTTGCAAAGTTTGAGCTAGGGGGCTGAGAGTTGGCACAGGGGGGTAATCGAGCATGCTGATCATCCCCAAGGGGGGTGATCAGCATGCTCGAACACCCCTGTGCCAAATTCCAGCCCCCTAGCTCAAATTTTCAAAAAATCGATAAAATCGGTAAAAGTAATGGACGATCTTGAAAACTAATATTGTATTCGTAATCTGCATGCTCGATTACCCCCTGTGCAAACTCCCAGCCCCGCAGGTCAAACTTTACAAAAAAATCGATAAAATCGATAAAAGTAATGGACGATCCTGAAAACTAATATTGTGTTCGTAATCAGCATGCTCGATTACCCCCCTGTGCAAAATCCCAGCCTCGCATGTCAAAATTTACAAAAAATCGATAAAATCAATAAAAGTAATCGATAATTCTGAAAACTAATATTGTATTCGGAATCCCCATGCTCACTTCCCCCTGTGCCAACTCCTAGCCCTGTAGGTGAACTCTGCAAAAAAATCGATAAAAATCGGTAAAATCGACATCGATCGATAACGAAAAGTGGACTGTGACACGCGCCGGGGCCCGAAGTGTATGTGTGCCAAGTTTGGTCCGGATACGGCGGAGCCGGGTAAGCCAGCTAGTATATTATAAAGGCTGAAACCTTGTTTATTCATATTTCACATGATACCTTGATAGCACTGGCGGTCCGAGGGGGGGGGGGGGGCGGGGGGAGGGGGGCACGCGCCCCCCCCCCCCCGAGAATGGGTCGCGAACTTTTTGAAACTTATCTATATGGATTATAAAAATGTGCAAATCACTTGTTTATTTTTGTAAATAGTTAAGATAATGTTTGAAATTTTTTAAAAATTCAAATTAGCCTTACAAAAAAAAAATTTTCGGGGGCGTGGCTTCAGCCACGCCCCCTTTTTCCAGATTTTAGGGGTTGGGGACCCGCAAAAATTTTGAGAAGTACTCCTAAAATTGGCTAACGCCACGCACCTTCATTTGAAAAAATTTTTTCCGCCCCCCCCCGGTCCGAAATTCTGGGACCGCCACTGCTTGATAGATGTATGCATGGCTCAATAATGGTGCCGTAGTGCACTTGTTTGTTCGGGGGATTGTGAAATTTCCTAAAATTCAGCAGTCATTGCATCTATGGTTTTCCACGAAGCTCCACTAAGTGTCTTCAAACCTAGATAAATCGCTCTAACTCCCACTTCCCCCATTTTTTAGGTTACAAACTTTCAAACATGATTCTTTCGCTCCACTTGTTTAGCTTCCATCAGGCATCGAAAGTGTATAACACTTTGATCTCTTATATTCAAACGGTTTTGCAGAAAGGTGCAATAAATATTGTATCTTATAGTAAAACTTAGAGAATAACGTAAAGTTTCACAATTTACGAGTTTTATGAGTGAGCCACATTATTTCAGACGTGATAATTAACTGTTTGAGAAATTATGTCGCTTCGTGATCTGCCCCCTGTAAAAAACTAATGGGGCATATAATAGAGCCCGTAATAGGGTGGAAAAGAACGACCACGGTAATAATCTGGTGAAACCGTCAGAAAACAGATTAGGTATTGGTTCTCGTAAAGCTGCTAATACAGATACCATAATAGTCCTCTGTTCAGAAAATTCTCGATGAATAAGAAAAGACTGCAAGAAACCGTCGCAGGTTTTAGATAGACTGGGTTTTTTACGTCGTCGGATGTATTTTTGCAACGATAACATAGCGGAAGTTGATAGACCATAGTTCAAGAATTGGAAAAATCTATTTTATTTTTTTAAGAGTTATGTACATAGCATTTTTCAAGCGATTCTAAGGTCTTGGCAAACCTGAGCTATTATGTTCCAAATACAGTTAACAATGTGAAAAATTCCACCTTTTGTTGAGCCCAGAGCATGTGACGATTATCGCTATCTTTGTGTTGCGGCGATCTATTAACTTTCAAATGAAAGTGAATTTTTAATTTTCTTTTGTTTTTCGATTCGTACACCGGTTTTCGAGCATTAACACTTGATTTCGTAGTAAAATTGATCCAAGTTACAAAATTCCGATTTCATCCAGATTAATACTTTGATATCCGTTTTTTCAGCCGAGTCAAACGCTGTGCCTTTGTAAATGTCTGTAAATGATTAGTGCGTTCAAATATCAGTACTGCTATTTTCATTAGGAACTTTCATAAACTGTGAAACACTGTCAAAGAATCAAGATCAATGAATCAATTCATCAGCATTTCACTTCCAGGTAAATTCATCGCTCCCTAATGTGACGCACCTTACTGTAGCCGCAGCACCATGGCCCATTCCCCTGAATCTCAAGCAGATTACACTTCGTCTTGGGAAGAAGTAAGTTAATGTTTAAGAAACACATAAAGTTCATCTTTATGCGCACAAGCGGCTCTCAAGCGCTTTGCCTCCTCACATCTGCGCTATCAATTTCCGCGAAATGAGTTTGAGAAGAAGTAATGACGTCTTCTAGCAAATTGCTGTGCAAGCGAACAAATCGGGTTCGGGCTTTGGGGAGATATTATCACGTAGGCAAGCCCGCTGATTTTGAAACTCAAGAAACTGCCTCTGAAAAATAGATGTATCAACGCTTAATAAGAGACTACCGTATCCAGTTACCGTATCCGTAATTACAGTCTCTACAAACTCCTCCTCAATCCAAATTGCGAAGAAGGCGATGAATTTTGGATATCATCCGAAATGACCTCATACTGGAGTCGATTTGTCGACTGTGAAGAAACGGACACCTACTGCGATTCGCGTTCGGATGAAATTTCCGCTTGTGAGACACCGTTCACCTACCATATGCTTTGGAGTAGCGGTATCGATCGATACGAATGACGATCAATAATGTGTATATATCCGGTACTTGTACTGGCTATAAATATTTGCAATCTTTTCATATATTGAATTCGAGAAGCCATAAGGACAGGTTACTGCCTCTCAAACACTCAAGGGCACATTCGAACATCTTCCTTGCTCAAAAAACTCTACTTCATCAAATCAAGAAAAAATTGGTGTGTGAAAGAAAATTAGAAGAGTTCTAGCCGCCGTGTTTAAGCGCCTGATCAGCACTTATTTCCTCAGAAAACCTTGCTTCCAATTTACCGTCCCAGGGTTTGGAAATTTTTTTTAGAAAGACTAAATGATATTCAACTAAAATACGCCTTACAAAACCAGTCAACTCAGAAATAGGTATGTTGATTTCAAAATAACTAGATTTCTTCAACCATTTTTTCGTTATATTACGGTATCGCTAGAAAAATTTGTCTAGTATTCTTTCTATAAGGCTTAAGGCTGCCAACTATAAGATATTGGCCCGTAGTAAACTACCGTCGGGGCATCTCCCCTGAGGCTGACCGGAGTCGATATCTTGGCGCCACAGTCCAGCATCCGGCGAGCTATTGATCTGGATGCAGATCGCTTCCTGGACATTATAATCAAGTGCGTTCTCGAAAAAATAGCTACGAGATTCGATTTGGTTAAATGGGTAAGCCATTGGAATTACACGCGCGCGGCCGTGGTTCGACTCCGCCTAGCGACACAACTTTTGCTGCATCGCCGGGCAATCTTTGATAGCGGCCACTATCCAATCGATGATGACCGCTATCAAGGATTTCGCTTAGCGAACGCAAAGATAAAACAAAAAAACATTTTGTTACGAAAATTTTGCGACAAAACGAAATGGTTGCAACGTGAATTCAGATACAATGAAATGAACAAATGAGTCCTCGCTTTGGACAGCTTCAAAAAAACCAGTAAAGTTTACAAAAAAGAGAAGAGTTTGTTTTTTTCTGTCTTCCTCGCCAAAATCAGCTGTTCATCGATCCTCTCCTTTTCGGGCGCGGTTGTGCAATTTTGCGCCGATTTTGTCCGCAGTGTTAGGCAAATTGCTGTGTATCGTAAGTTACTCAGGAGCAACTTACAAAGATTTTTTCTGCGTTTCCTCTTTAGCACACTATTTCTGGACATCATCGCTCATATCATCTCCCATGACTCGGCAGGGAGATCCTCTCCCTGCCGAACTTCACCTGAGGCTCACCTCTCAGGTGACGTTGCATCCCTATAGCATGGGGAAATGGGCGGTCGTCATTTTACTGACAGAACCTCACGTGAAGGTCTCAGGGGAGATCATCTCCCATGACCGAGCTTTGCTACGGGCCAGGAATTCAAAAAAGAGCCGTAAAACACAGATTCAGGAACTTGTGTACCTGTGCATTCTTGCTACAAGAGAGTGAAAAAAAGGGACAACTGGCATCATTACAAGGTGGCCCACAAGGTGAACAAGGTGATTTTTATGAAACGGTCCCTTTTTGTTTACATTTACATGGATGCTATCTAACAACGAAGAGGATCGATGATGCACCGCAGCACTCAGTCATGGTTTTGAACCACAAATCTACATCTGTTATTGGTACCAAGTTCGAATCAAATGGTTTACACGACCCCTTTTCCAATATTTCTATATCTGTGCTTGATGACTAATCATTTAGCTGAACAGAAAAAACTAAACTCAAACAAATTACAAGATTAGTACTAACGTGATCTTCTCTTTAGCTACATCCAAACTTACTCCAGAATTTTAGATTTCTGCAAAATAAATCAACGAACAAAAAACATTGAGTTTCGTCTAGATACTAGTCTCAGGTCAATAATCAAATGCTTATAAATCTCCACGTTCTCTGATCGCATCGTTGGCCGAAGCACTTATTCATAGTGGAATCCAAAAATTTTTCCTTGGTGTACCTCAGGACAGGTTATCTTCAAGACACACTACCATATGTTTTAGTGCAAGATCTCTTAAATTTCTTCTTCAGTACAATATTTCATTAATCTTTATGCTCGCAGTACAAGTTTACATTCATGACAGAGGATGCGCTGCGAATTGAGACTGCACCTCTTGGTGGAAATGCTCAGATCTTTAAGACCGTTTGTGGGAAGCGAGTGGGGCCGAGCGAACCTTGTTGTCACTCTGTCAAGTATTTAGCAGCATATTCATACCTTTCCCCCCCCCCCCTCACTTCTCGCGCATTTTCTCGGAAAGCGCAGAGCTTTGGTGGTCCATTGCCAACAATCAGTACTTGATCTCAGCGGTTGTAGTTCGATCCATCTATGCTTGCTCTCCCCCCCCCCCCCTCCGCCCTCCCCGCCCCAATTATTAGGCAAAGTTAGCACGCTAATTTGAAGATGGTTGCAGACACATTGGTCAATCCTCGGCGTCGAAATTCTCGTTTTCACCGAGAAAGAGATTCGTAGTAAACACGAAAATGCCAGGAAGCAACAATGTGTTGATCCCTTATGTTGGAAGATTAGACATTCAGAAGGCATGCGGCAGCTTTTAGTTAGCTCTTTGTCATGTCCACTCGGTTTTTTTCAGTAAATTTCGCTGCAAAATTTTTGCCTTTTTGTGCGTCTAGCTTCGTATTTCTAAACCCTCCAATAGTGTTGGTTCAAGGATAGTAAAAATATTTGATAGCATCTTTCGAACTTGGAAAAGCATCAAATGGCATGATATCCTAGCCTTTCTTATTAGCACCATGCAAAAGTCTTTATTCTTAAATCACCCGTGAATATTGCCATGTGGTGATAAGAATAAATTTCAAGCTGTATCCCATGCAATTGCTTTTCACAAACCAACTCATGCGAGTAGTTGCCAAAACTTACGCCCTTCTTTCTACCATGTCTAACTTTTGCTGATTTTCTGAACTTTTCGACTCTTGGAGCATCTAACTCTATGATAGATTGCGGACAAAGCAAACATTTTGCAGATCAAAGCAATACTTTACTATTTTTCTTACATGATTTTCGAAATCTCTAAACTAAATTTTATTAGAGTAACCAAGTTTTATACCCATGCAATAGCCATTTTTTGCGTTTGCGGAAGGCGTAAAAAAAACGCCGCGTTTCCCATTTGCCTCTTGATGAATCTCAAATTTTATGGTCTTCTTCATATTTTGAAGCGATCATTGTTTTTTGTAAGGTGAAAAAATTTCGTTTTTTGTTCAAAGAATCTTGAAATGGCAGATCACAATTTTTATTGTTATTTGTCAAATAGAAAAAACTTATGCGCATGCAAACCAAATTACTCACTTCTTCCATCAGCATGAAAACGAAGCTCAAAAAGTCAAGGAACTGAGGTTTCAAAAATAGCTGCCCTCTACCGACAACAGAATTTTCTGAGTAGTTGTTATGGATAGCCAATCTACGATTTCAGACACGGAAAAAAGGCGTGACGCAGCACAAAGCTTGTTTAGAATATAGAAATTCTTTGAAAAACTGAAGTCATTTACAAGTAAAAATAAATCACTTGTAAACTTTTATGACCCGTAAGCTGCTACCGAAAATTTCGCGACCAGTTCTCATGGGGGGAGCGGGGGGGGGGGGGGGGGGAGGATGGGGAATGAGCCTAGTAGAGCGAGAACGTGATCAGTCAACTGTGCTAATCTTTTGAGGCAGAAGAAGCATAAACATTCAGGAAGGATGCGGCAGTTTCTACTCTGGTCTTTGAGATCATGTTGAAACCAACTGACAACCTTTTTCTGGAAGGCTCATATTACTCGTTTTTCTGAGTCAACAATTGTCAAAATATAAATATGCATCTTTCTATAAATATGCATCTTTCTTCATCATAACTGATTCTCTAGACAACTTACAAACTTTTTGCCATTATTAATAATTCCAAATGTTCTTAAACTCTTAAACAACTGCAATTCTATTAGGGTGTCTCAATATTTTTTATCTTTTTTACCCTGAACATCAGCACTTCTCCAGAACTATGTCTCTTACAAAGAATACAAAATGATCGTGCTTCTGTATGTATGAGCTATATGATCACGTGTGTTGGAGGAGCTCAGGGCTTCTAGGGGCGGAGTTTGCCATTCTACTCCATTCATTTTTCTTCATTTCTAGCCATGGAAAAATACGAAAAATGTACATTTAAATATTCGATGTGTCATGTGTCATGCTGAGGTAACTGGGGATTTTTTGACATTTTGGGGGGGGGGGGAGATACGATTTTTGACGATAAAGTTTGTTTTTTGGCTGCTTTTGAATTTCAGCTCAAAACTTTATGTGAAATACGATTTGAGCAGACCCTTGATGACCATCTTGTAGAGCACTCTGTCAAACGCTTACTCAAGCCACATGAATTGACTGAAAGATACAAACAGACAACGTGAAAAATGATTAAAAAAATTATGAAACACTCTAAAGTGGCTGGAAGAATTCTTTTGTGAACGAGCATGCGTCTAACTTCCGAAATATTCTGTGTTCAGGGGGTCTTGGCTGCGTTACTTTACAAGATCTATATTTGAAATATGGCCCCATACCAAAACAAAGCTTGAGCTGTTTTGACAGGGTAATATCATTACTAGAGCTAAAGCAGATTTAACGCAAATGGACAGATTCTCTCTATGGAGCGCACTTTGAGGATTTGTTGGAGATCAGAGTCAGGGCAAAGTTTCCACGTCCCGAAAATCCGAAAACGAAATGAATCCAAAAACGCGGATCTGATTGATGTTTCTACAAAAAAATAAGGAACGCGTTTCTGAAATTTGTCTCTGCTGACCTGAGTATCTAAATATAGCAGGCAAAGCCAGACTATGTGTTTACAGACTTCTCCAGATTATGTCAGAATTATTAGGTTGCTAATGAATAATTACGTTTTGGCATGCAAACACTTTACTATTACAATTTGAACTGCTGATTAGCGTCTTGTATGGAGGCAGTTTTAAACCCTCTACTTTCACATAACATATGCATATTTGAGAGTCTTCCATTAGTAATAAATGGCAGAAATGCCCTCATATAGTCGTCCTTGGAATTTTTTTTTGAATTTCTACATTTCATTTTCAGCCCATATGAGTGCACAGAAAAATAATTTTGTATTTGGCATACAAGATTTAGCTACGTAGCGGCAAATCAGAATGAGGATTCTGATCTACGCTTTGATAATTTTGTACTCAAGGTAAGGTGCTGTTGACGTGTAAACTGGATGGAAGCCAATTTTTGACCAATCCACATCGCTCAACTTTGAGCATTTATGTATGGTCATGCCAAGATTTCAAAATCATAATTGTATGGGTGCCTGCCAACTGTACATGCTACAATCCCTTCCAATTTTTTTGTTGCTTGCTTTTGTAATACGTCGAAAAAAGTCTGTGTTCTCAACTCTCCAGCACCATCTCGCCGTCAGAAAATTACCTCTGCTCAAATGGAGACAACCGTCTGTTTCTTGAATTACTCTTTTCAAAATATCAAATTCTATACATGTTTATTTCTATGAAAAGAACAACCACAATCATTTATAAGCCAATATAATAATGTAAAACCGTTTGAGTGTTTAAGGAGGTTCAAAGCACTAATAAGACACAATGATCTAAGCTAAAGCAAAACATCCAGCCCGCATTTAGAGACCATAAGTGGAGACGGAGATTTAGAGATAGATTATATTTAGATCTCTATCTGGAAATATTGCTCTCGATAATGATAAATACGGTTAAGGTGACCACGCTTTGGTGCTGTGCTTTACGGTTCTCAACATTACGAGAGATTTCCTTCGTGGCAAACAATTAATACTTGGCGAATTTGCTAAGCTGTTTTTCCGATCGAATTACGCGCAGCTAGTGCTGGTTAGAGAAAAGGTATGAAGAAGTTATTATGGCCAAAAGTAAAAAATCTGGTTTGTCACATTCTGACCGGACTATATTTTTTTCATCTCTTTTTGTTCCCTTCATGCTCGTTTGATTTTCCAACTTTTCCCATCAATAATTTCGTCGTCTTATTCTACTGCAGTAAACAGTGCAAAAACTCTAAATAATTCAAATTTCGCAGTTTTTCAAGATGCAAACAGTTTGATAAGCAATTCTCAAGAATCTAATATCTCCAATCGCCGGTGTTTGAGCGGTCAAATTTTGTTGATTCCGAGGCATGAGAACACTTTAGTCGCAAATATGAGGAACTTCTCACACTTGCAGTTGGAAAAAGTCTCAGCCTGCTCAAAACAGTCTCCAAACTTGCTCAATCGCTTTGGGATACATGTATCCTCAACTTTCGTCTGTGTATACTCAACAAAAAAGAATTTTCAAATTTAAGTTTGATCATTGGAGGCCTAGTCATAGCAATAATCAATTACTTTAGATTTATAGAATTTTTAGTATATTTAAAATTTCATACAGTCATCATTTGAAAAGTATCTAAGTTTGCAAACGTTACCCAATATCTCTCCTTACGACTCCTCAGTGAAAATTGCCAGAGATTCTAATGATACACCTGTTGTTTTTGTAATGATATCTACTTAATTGCACCTATTTGTTCTAGAAAAGAAAACAAGCAAAATTTAGTAGACAACTTGGAACCGCATAAATCGAAAGGTGACACTCAGGGTGTTAAATAAACATATCAATTTGAAAATGTCTGGCCTCATTGTGCTTCATGTTGACAAAAGATGACACCTGACATAACATAGTGGACTCAAGTACTATGGTCTCAAAAAACAATCCAGGCTCAGTTTTCATCTACAACTTTAATCAATTTTTCAATCAAACGTCTAAACGAAATTTTTAGCCGCCTTTGCTTGCCTTGCAGCTATTTTTTGCTCAACAAAAACCAAAGTATAAAGAAAGCCTAATCTCATCTTTCTCAATTTCTAGGAGAAGTGGACGCCGATGAACGCCAACTTTTTGAAGACTGGCCACACCGGGGATTGGCGCTGATAGACCTTCTGCTCCCAGGGGGCTGCTAGTCACTATTTTCAGCTCTATAGGTGCATTAAGGTGCTAAAAACCAGAAAACTATTCGTGGCATAATTCCTGAGCATTTTTTCTGATTGTTTCAGAGCATTATCGAATGCTTTCAAACTTATTACGATCAGTCAATCCGTTTCAATGCTCGATTTTGCGAGGCTATGGATGCCATTGATGAATATTTTCGTTTTTTTTAAATTTTTTTTCACGATTGCTTTTGAGAAATCTAATGGATTTCATCGATGCACATAGTATAAGACACAATTGTCAAATCTCACATTTTCTCATCATCCTTGTCTCCTTCTTCTTCCATTCCCCAACATTTAGGAGGGGGGGGGACCAAAGACAACAAAAATTTCAGACTTTTCTTGACTAGTGGATTGTGTGTGAGGCACTGCTCTCCAAAGCATTCTCAAAATGTTCCTATTGTACAGCTTATACTTGGAGATTCTAGAAGGATATGGTCCCAAGCGAATTTCTTTTGAGGTGATCGAGTTACTCAGCTCTCGTACATAATATGTACCATTAATAAATCGTCAAAGCAAGTAACCTACTTGACTTCTTTGTCAAATTGGTTCCAAAGTTTAGCTAAAACGAAAAAGGAGGAAATTTTTCTAAAATTTCAAAACAGCTATTCAAAACTTATTACAAGTTTTTCAAAGCACCTAACAAGCGTTTTATTTCACTAACCGTATTAGCGATTTTTTTAAGCAAAATCGAATTGTAAAATAATTTTAAAAAACCATAACTCTTATGAACGTCCGACCAGCATAAATTTCACTTAGTCAAGAAAAGCACGGTAGGCATGATCACAAATAAAATTAAATTTTCTCCGGCCTTAACTGTAAGATTCAGGAAATGGCGTTGAATTACAACTCGTTGAAACCTCAAGAGCTTGTGATCCTTCCAAAGTAATTTTATTTCAAAACTTATGGAACCTATTTGTACCGAATTCGAAAAAGACCCATTTTTGACTTTCCCCTCCGTCTTTCAGACCTGCTCGGTCTGGCACTGCCTCCTGTAATTGCTTTCCACATATTGTTGAATCAATAGACGGCTCATTATTTACCTACCCAGGTGGTCACACTAAAATCACAATTGTTTTTGAAAGCTTCAAAGTAGCAGTTATCCGTGGCTTTCCGAAAGCTTACACCCTGGTCTGTGATCTTTGATTTGAGGCCATGAGCGAACCTCCACACCTGAGTTCGCGGCGACTCACCTCTGCTCACTAGCTCATGCCATATGACACTTCTCTAATTGCCCGTGGCTTTGATCGTTCCGAAAATCGTTCTGGATTTTTCTAGAAAATGTCTACGCTGGATTTGGAGATGCTTTCTGGCAAGACAAATGGCAAGGAAATCATAATTCCTATGGATGTCGCGTCGGAATTGGAAATGTTCACAAAGAAGATTTTGCATGTATGCTTATTTTACGAATAAACTTTTTTCTCAAAAAATTCAATTTCAGGTAGTCACAGTACTAAGGTTGAACTTTCTTGAACCGGGCCATAAAAGGTGCTCCAAAGCCTGCAATACGGTCGTTACCGCAATGATGTTCGGATTAGGTAAAACCTTATAAAAAAAACTCTGTGACTCAATACTGCTACTTACAGCATGCTACAGTTTGGCCTATACTACATACATCACACTAAATCTTACCCATTCTCCTATGGTGATGTCCTCGAAGTTGCTGCTGATAGCTTGGGCGGTCCAGTCCATCGTTTCCTTGGCAAGTTAATTCTTATAATCTTGAGTTTTACGGGTGACCATAAATTGGTTGAGGTTATTTAAGATTTTTTCGTTAAGCTAAAATAACCAAATCTAGCTTTTGTCTTCGGATGACCACAAAGAAGGAAAAAGTTTTTCTTCCAAACTTTCCATATCTCACTCCTCTTCATAGCTCCCCTCCCTTTTCACCCCTTCCTGTTACCTCTCCTTGATATTAATCTAATAAACGTCAAATCATCAAGAAACAAGTGAGCACCACTTCCATAATTTAACGAACAATATTTTTGCACCATTAATTACTATAGCTCGATTATTAGCTATGCGAACCTGTGACGCATTTTTGGAGTTTCCTTATTTTCCCTAAGCTTTGCAACCAATGCTCTTCAGAGTAGTTTTCAAAAAATTTGTGTGTTTTAGTAGGAAAGGTATAGTAGATACTATACCACAGACGTGTAAAAAGGCCCCATAAAAATCTCATCCTGAAAATATTCAAAAATCCATCAGACACCATGCAAGCAAATATCTTAAGAAGTTCACCGTACAGTTTTTGAAAACTTTAACTTAACCATTCTTCAGTATTATTTTTATTTTGATCTCGCTATATCCCTCTGTGATTTTTCGCTTTCTCGTATCCCTTTTGATTTTCTGCTTTTTTCTTCCAGGTATTCCTCATACATTGGCAGCTTAATGGTCAAATGAAGTCCTTTCAATGCCAAGTGATGTCTTGCCAAAATGAAGATGGAATTAGGAGTGGCAGGTCGCTAATCATGAGTTAGTTTCTCTTATCCAGTGACTTTCATAGAGTTATTTACCGGAATGTGAGATTTCAGAAAATGTTGGATTATTCTACACTGTCATCTTCGTCGAAGTATTCATTATTACGTTGTTCAACATTCATTACTATACTGGCGAGAAACAGACTGAATATACCGTGAAAAGAGCAGAGGTAGTGCCACTCATTTCTCGTCTATTCAAAAAATTGTGCAAGGCATGGCCACGCTGCTGCGCGCGAGTGCGTCGCGTTCTCGCCATTTTCAGTCGCTATTACAGATGTTCTACTTCCCAGAGCTTCAATTCATAAACAGCATCATTACGCTTTACAAATATATGGCCTGGAATGCTACCATGTTTATTTACATAATTTACACAAATGCGGCATTTTTGGAGGTAAAGTACTACAACGAACAACTTGAGCAGGTAAATAATCGCTTCTCTTCCCCCCCCCCCCCCGCCCCTCTCGCCTTCTCTCAAAAGTGATAATGCTATATTTGCAGCTCAATGGAAACAGCGTTGACATTGCGTACCAACTTTTGGAAAGAATGGAAGCTTATGGTCGCCTTAGTGGATTGGTCAGAGAGCTTGATCGAATTTTCAGGGTACGAAGACAATTCAGGGGTTTAGGTCCTTTTGCGCCACTCCAGTAAGTCGTAGTAATCCCGTGTTATTCTTGATGCAAAAATGGCCCGATTTTTACTTTTGCGCGACTTTGTTTTTTGCTGACACAAGCGCCGGTTTCCTCACGGATTCAAACTGTGTTATACCGTAGCGGTGCAAAAGGGCCGTTTCCTCATCTTCTGGTGGACTGAAGCCAATTAACTTTATTTCCAGCTTTATGCTTTCATAATGCTTGTCATAATCGTGCCATCTGTCATTCTTACACTTATGATGGTCAACCAACGTATTCATGGCATCAAAGACCTGATAATTTGCATGCCTTCAATTGCGCTTTGTATCTACAGTTTTCTGGCGGTTACGGTAGCTCCGGCAAGACTTCATGATGAGGTTTGAAACTATCTACTGTAGTCCGAATTGTCTGCAGCTTTGGTTTTTAGGTCAGCAGATCGAGAGTATGCTTAATTCGAAATGAGACCATATGGTACCCGTATAGGAAGGATGTGAGTACAAAATTGTTTGCTTATAATCGATCAATAGTTCGTTGCACGAGCCGCGTCGCTTAGGCAGCTGCGCTGCGTCAAGTAGACGCCAAGCGTAAATCAATAAATAGTACTTCTTCCACCGCTACTTTTGCAGGCGTCATGCTGTGTTTTTGAGTAAGCAAGCAAAAATTGATTTGTTGCCCGTGAAGAAGGGCTTTTGAGTTGTTAGCTTCACTACTTTCAGTGATTGATCCTATAATGAAACAAATGAGAAGTTTTTTATTTTTTTTATTTTTGTGTGTTTTTTAACTCTTGATTTATTTAGGTATTCACAATAGCACAAGCGCTATCTTCCCATATGGAGCAGTATGATCTAGGCATCTCTATATGGGGATTCGCTGTTTTATCTAGACCTTTGGTGTTAGCGGTAAGTGCACCTTGAGGTTATTATCCTAGTACGGTAACAAATAACCAAATTTTAGACATTCTCCGTCATGGCCATGTTGCTATCCGTTATTGTCGAATTGACCCCAGCTCCACATATGGTGGAAGTTGTTAACTGCACAACGTCAGTGGAAATATGAAATGATTATTTTTTTGTAAATATTCTTTCCGCTTTCTGGCGTTTCTTGCTTTAGTTTGCGGTGTATATATACAATATATTAACAGTATCATAATTATATGGAAAAATTGCATGACTTGTATATTGTGCTTACCATTTTTATGAAAATCGTAAACCTCGTAATAAATACTTGTTTTGATTTATGCCTACAAACGACCTTGTTATCGAGACGATGAGTTTCCGCACCCGGTTCTAGAAAATTCATAGAGAAAAGCTTTACGGCTCAAACAAAACCTTGCTTATTTTAAAGTTTACAGAAATTCTGATGTCTTAGTTCCGTAATGCGTTTGCTGATAGGGTACTGTACGTGATTCACAGCTTGAGAAATTACCATAACTTCATGTCTAGCTGTTTTAGAATTATTTAAATTACTAATCATTCAATGCGAGAAAGAATGCCTGGAGTTTTTATGACAAGAAACAAACCGAAAAAAATTTTCTGAATATTTTGATTGTTACATCCTTTTTCGAATACATTTGACTATTGAAAAAACTCACCTAACTCCTCTGTAAAAAATAACTTGGATTTTTTGGGGAAGGGGCTAACGGGAATGATAATGAAGTCTCTGAAGGTAACTTGTGTGAATTATTGAAAAAAACGACTTGTTTTTACTTAGAAATAATTGATACAATTACAAAAATTTCCTAAAAATTCAATATAGTTTTGTAAAGAAGTTCCTTCTGGGGTATAATTTCCGCCAAATCCTTCACTTGGAGAAATTTTTGTTGTTCCTCCCTCCTCCCTCCCTCTAAAACGGGATTCTCGGACGGCCACGGGTATGTAATAGTACGTAAATGTAAGAGGTAAATGCTTTATTTGATTTCCGAAACGCATTTGCCTCTTTTATCAATGTGGTAAACTTTCCCTTAAGCTTTGCAGACATGGAAAAAAGAATAGCTTCCTAGCTATAGCTGCGAATAGTCGAATTTAAGCTCCATGATTTCGAAGGCTTTGTGTCTAATGCAGCCTGAAAGACGATCACTCACTGACCCATGTTCTCGGTTCGCGAAGCTCTATCAATCAATCGGTAATTTTTCAGCGATCATGACAGAGGAACAAATTGCCGCAGTTGAAAGCTTCCGCTGACCCATAACTCACACCACGCAACCTTCGCTTCGTCCCAGCTTCACGCGCGAAGTCGCATCGCGGCAGAGCAACGCCCTCAAGCTTTGAGTTTTGGACTCGGTCGTACAATAGGTCAGCCAATCAGCCAGGTCATACCCTCCCCTTGAAAACAATTGACCGGATCAAACATCTTTTTGAGCATCAAACACTCTGCACTCGCTCAATGTTCATTGATCTTAACAACACGGAAGATGAAGAGGAGAGTATCAAATAGCACGCGAGAAAGCGAGGGCATAATCGAAGCTTGAACAGCGCAAGTTGGAGATCCCTAAGACTATTGGACTTACTTTGTAAGCTAAGGTAAGAGTATAAGTTAGAGAAATATTTAGAGCGTTTGTTTGGCGCACGGAAAGGGCTCCCGAAGAATGGGAGAAGGAAAATACCAACATCGGCAAAAATAATTTTTTTGCATTTTTCTGCATTCTTCGCGGAAATCGCAGCTTTTCTTTGAGAAGCTCGATCACACAAACTGTGCACAGTGAGAAATAGCGGTTTACGTAGATTGTAAGATTGTTTAGATTCTTTCGCAGCGTTTCTAGCCTCTATTTATTAAGTTGGCACGAAAGTTCTTGCGTAATTCAAACACCCAATAACTTTTCAAAGACTAAACCTAAATTCACAAACTTGTAAGCTAAAATTATTAGAATTCTTACGCTTCATGATGGATGTTTAAGCATAAGATTCCGTGAGCTGGACATCAAGAACGAAGCTCTCGAATATGGGGCTTCAAATTTCGCGATTTTGAGTTTGATGCCAGAAAATCGCAGAGTGCCGCTAGCTAGCCGAAAAAAATCTGTAGAGTCTATTTACACAGCAAAAGTATTTTATTTTAGCAGGCTTTGATCTTGCACGGTGAAGCAAAAACAAAAAATTCGTGAAATATGTCATTTCGCGGAAAAATCCCCTCATGTCCGCAGTTTTCCGGCGAAAACACTCTTTTACAATCGAGAAAATGTCGCAAGGCTCTAAATAGGCACTATGTCTAATTTCTGGTTGCAAACTGTGTTTCTGTGGAAAAATTAGAGCGACAAGGGAATTTGTCCTCTGAAATGAGATATTTCACAAATTTTTTGTTTTCGCATTTCCATGCGAGATCAAAGCCTGCTAAAATAACGTATGGACTTTTGCTGTGTAAGTAAATTCTACAGATTTTTTTCGGCTCGCTAGCCGCACTCTACGATTTTCTGCCACCAAACTCAAAATCGCAAAAAGCCCCATATTTGAGAGCTTCGTTCTCGATGGCTAGCTCATGATATGATGCGCTTGCACTTCCATCATGGAGCGTAAGGCTTCTGATAATTTTAGCATAGAACATTGTGAATTTAGGTTTAGTCTTTGAAAAGTTATTGAATTTTGTTAGAATTACATACGCAAGAACTTTCGTGCCAACCTGATATTAGGTCGTTTGAAAAGTAATTTCGCTTTTTTCAGGCGGGCACCACATATGACGCAACAAAGATTTCTAAGAGGTCTTGGTAGCATTCGATGCAGAATTTCATTCTCTTTCCAACGGTTATGGAATTGTTCTAAAATAGTCAATGAGCTTTCGGAAAACAACCGAAATCTGCGACCTATGCTTTTTGAAATTGTCAAGTTTCATGATTTTTTGAAACTTTCATATTAATCCTCAGAAGGAGTTCAAGTAATGATTCGATAGAGTAAACCTTATAGAAAACAGCACTACTTTTGTCCCTTTCTCGTAGCTCGCCATAATTTTTCAAAACATTTTTTTTTCAGAACCGTCGGATTTTGGCAGACTCACCTCAGGTACAATCGCATCAAACATCACAATTTTTCGGAATTTGAGACTACCAGAATGGTACTATGAGTTAGCATTAATTTTACAAAGCAAGTGAGGGTTACCGGTTCGAAATATCAAATTTTGAGTTTTTCGGGTAAGCCTGGGGCTCGCTAAAAAACGAATTATGATGATTTTATCCTTGAAAACAAAACGATTCGGAGACAAAAAACATCCTTTAGAAAGAGAAGAAAACGCTGCATCGAATAGTGCCCGAGCTGCTTTTCCTTTTCTGTTCTACGAAGACTTAGCTGCCCAAGTATGGAGATTGGTAGCATCAGTTAAAATTTTGTCAACGTATGACAAGCTATGGAAAGGAGAAAAAAGTAGTACTGTATTCTATAAGGTTTACTCTATCGAACCGTTACTTGAAATTCTTCTGAGGAATGATATGAAAGTTTTAGAAAATCGTGAAACTTGACTATCTCAAAAAGCATAGGTCGCAGATTTTGGCTATTTTCTGAAAGCTCATTGATGGCTTTGCAACGATTTCATAACCATTAGAAAGAGAATGAAATTTTGCATCAAATGCCTCCAAAATCTCTTGAAAATCTTTGTTCCTTCATATGTGGTGCCCGTTTGAAAAAAGCGAAATTACTTTTGAAACGACCTAATATTTTGGTAACTTTTTAGGTAGTTCGTCAGCACAGAACGTAACTGTTTTCGAGCGCAAAATAAACGAAATGGACATGCTGCAGGTCAAATATCAGAAAGAAAGCCTTTGACATTTTTGTCTCCTTGCTTCTTTTTTCTATCCAAATTGTCTTTATCTTTATTCTCCACTCGCACGGTCATTTAGGATATGATCGTTGGGCGGCGGCCCAGGAGTTCCCAAAGCCTCGCCGCCTTTCCTTGCAGGGGTACTTAGCACCCCCAAGGCGTCCTCGCACTTCTCAGACGGCTCCGCCCATTTGCCCCGCCCACTGGCTAATTTCATTGCGAGTTGTGCAGGTTTGGAGAATAATTCTCAAGTGTTATGGATGAGTAATGAAGGATGGAAAGTGAAAGACTAGAGTTTATGAGATCTACCATTTGGGACATGTTGCCTTTACAATATACGAACGCGAAATTTACTACTGAAAGATCTTTTGACCATGATGCATTAGTGTGGGCATCACATTGTCAGAAAAATCCGTTTTTCGACTTTCAGCCGAGATAAGTGTACATATACGTTTGGTTGAAAGTATGTCTGTTGAGCAAGTTACAGGTGTCCCAAATGTCTGACGGACTTTCGACTTTTTTCGATTTTTCGGGCAGTTGGATTTTTCTAGTTTTTGGTTACAACTTCGTATAGCTCAAATTTGATGCAATTAAAATACAGGATCACAGAATCTCTATCAAACTGAAAAAATTTGACGCTCAATGTCTATCTACTATACTTATTACATCGATGCAATAGTTTTCGCCTAAATCAGAGGGAATCCGATAATTCACTAAAATCCAAACCTAGATTCATGGCTTGTTCGGAAAGACGTGAGTTTTGCCCTTCAAAATAGTTTATGGCTTTAGTGGCTCAAAGCTTTAGTCTATGGTAATGTGGAAACACAGAAACTGCGAAAAATATTCTTTTGCAGAGAAAATTACCTCCTTACCAAAAATACCACTCAGTGCTAACTTTGAGTACTGTAAGGCCTTCTCGGGTATGACAAAGTGTTTCTACTTATAAAATGCAATAATAAGGAAATTTACCTTCCATGATTTTACACGAATTTTTGCATTTGCATATCTATGCTATTCCCGCACTCCGCAGTCTCCGAAGGAGATCAATAAAGGAGTAGAGCGATAGGCGGGGCCTGACCTCTGCGCGAAGGTGCGAGGAGCCTTCTGGAGTGTGAATGCTGGTGCGAATGGAGGTGCTAGGAACTCCTGCGTCCCCTCCTGATCGTTGCTGTTATTGTTTACTAACATTGGCCGAAGCATCTTTTGAAGCGGCGAATCTGCTTCGCAGAAGGCTTTGCAAGCGCTCAGTGCCGACATTCTGCAAAAGATAGAAGAAAAAAGGTGTTGATGATTTCTTTCTTATCAACCATTTAACTTTG